CACGAAATGCGACATCTGACCCCACACCCGTGACATGTCCGGATAAAGAGCTCCCCGGGAGCACCCAGCAAAAGGCTGTGGGCAAACTGTGGCCTCGCACCAAGATGGGGTTCGACATCCTGCTTTGGGGTCTTAAGGGCTCTGCAGTGGCTACCTCAGTGCAAACACGGTCTCTCCCCACCTGAAGCAAAGATGCGTGAAGACATAGACCCAAGGGCACGATGGTCTCAGGCACCCACGTGCCCGAGATCTGAAGAACTAGATGGTGCCCAGCTATCCTCCCGACCCCCCTGAACAAGGGTCACATTAGAAAGTCCTGGATAGAGGGGAGAGAAATGTGGAACAAGACTCAAAATCAAAGGAAAGGCTCATTACCACTCTGACAGAGACTGCCGGAACCCTGAGATCATGGCCTTCAGTCACCCTTCAAACCTGGGAAGGAACCCGCCCCCGGCTCCACTCCCAGCCAAACAACAGACAGGGGACCAATAACCCATGCTCGCCATGGAAAGGCTGGCACTAGCCCTCTGCCCATCCCTGGGCTGCTCTGGGGGACCAGCCATGGCTAACACGTGAGCAAGGAGGCGTGACTGTTCTTATAAAACTTTATTTACAAAAACAAGCAGCCGGTTGGACTTTAGCCTGGAGGACGACAGCAGAGTTGAGCTCAAGGGTGTTTGAAAGTCCAGGGAGGGGCTGGAGGACCCCACGTCAGGAACAGGGGCCGGTTGTCTCTAGAAACCTGGGCCTCAAACTCAGGGCCCCCTTCTCTCCTAAGCAGTTACCTTCCCGGGCTCACTGTGCCGCAGACAGGAGAGGTGCGGACTCGGGGGCAGCTCCACGGAGAGGCCTTCCTGCGCACAAACCTAACTCCCGCACCAGCCCTGCGCCTACCTGCTTCTTCTTCAGCTTGGAGATCTGCTGTTCCACCATGGTGATCTCTCGGTCCACTCGGTCCATGTTTTGGATCAGCTCCTCCTTGGAGAGCCGGGGAGGGACCAGCTCCAGCTCGGGGTCAGCATGCGGGGGGCTGGGCGGGGACACCGGCTCCAGTTTGCCCGTCAGGCTGCGCTCCTGTAGCAGAGAAGCAGGCAGGTGTGGGGCCAGTGCAGGGGGCACCCCAACCAGCAGACCCCATGGAGTTGACTGCTGTTTTCCAGCCCTGGTTTGCAGTCCTAGCTCCCGGGGATCAAAAACCACCCTTCTCCAGCCACCATCTTTGCCACAACTGGTCCTCCTGCCCCAGCGGCTGGCCCAGCGCTCCGGCCATTCTCTGGGGCAGGGCTCTCCACCTGTGTGCGTCAGGGTTCCATTCACAGGTCTCCATCCCTCGACACAATCTTCCCCCAACACACACCTCTTACCCAACAGGTGTCCTCCCCACCAGACTCAGCTCCCTAAGAACGGGACCTGAGATTCCACCCGCTCTGTGTTAGCCCCTCACAGTGCCCGCCCCAACGGGGCAGAATTGGGACTCTGAGCAGCACAGGGAGCCCTGCTAGGCAGCCACTTGGTGCCTAGCTGCCGGCCCAGAGGCGTAGGGGCCGATGCCCACCCAGCAGCTCTGCAGATCCAAGGCCTGGGACCTGATGGGAGGCAGGTCTACCATCACCCCGTCCGTGGAAGGTGCCTCCTCAGTGCACACCAACTACAACGGACTCAGAGAGCTCCATTCCACAGAAAGTACCCGTGCATTCACAGACACCCACAAGTTCACCGGGCTCACCCAGGCGGCAGGACCCACAAAGCACCCACGACTGTCCGGTCCAGGTCACAGCAACCCCCTAGGACAGGACAGGACATGCAGGCCCCTCGGGTCCCCAAGGCGGTCCATATTTGCGGAAGCAGACTGCACCCCACTCACCCTCCCTGCCCCCGGGGCAGCTGGTGAGTTCAAACTGCTGATGCACCTGAAGCCACTGGGCTTTACCCACCATGCCACCAGGGCTGGATCTGGGCTGGGAAGGGGGAGGTGTTTCCGCTTTCCTCTGCTTTCCCGAGCTGTTCTTGGATCCTTCCTCCCTGGGGAGCCCCGGGCCTGACCCGGCTGTGTTTGGGCATGGGGACCAGCGCTCGGCCCGAGCAGGGCGAGGTGGTGGTGGGGTGGGTGTGGGCTGAGTGGGCAGAGGTCAAAGGCATGCTCTGCAGCCCCAGGCGCCGACTCTGGAGCTCGGCGGCCCGGGCTCTGTGCCTCGGTTGTCCCACTGGTACAGAGACACAGGAAGCACTCTGTCCCCCAGAGGGCAGCGAGGTCTGTGTAGCGAAGGGTGTGGCCCTCGCGAAACGAGGCTGGGATGCACCCGGCAGCATGCACGAAACTCAAGCCCCCGCCCGCTCGGTGCCAGGGCCAAGCCGCCAGCTGGGCCGAGGAGGCCCCGGGAGCAACACCAAGCCGCCTCCTCCCTGCCCCCATGGCAGCTGCCAGCCACGGGACACAGGCTGCATTGTTCCCGGAACAACTGCGACCCCAGGCTTGCCCAGTGCCCCCTCTCACAGCAAGGGGAGGTCACCCTGTTCCGCGCCAGCTCTCCGGTTCCCAGGATCTCTGCCCTGACCTGCAGACTAACCTCCCTTCACCCAAGGACCCGGTCAGGGCTGAGGGCTCCCGTTGGCCTCACTGAGTCTGGTCTGAGGCTCCCAGAGTGCCCTGGGGGTTGCAGAAAGTCCTGGTCGCTCTCTGGTACACCTCCCTGCTCAGGCCACCCCAGCCTGTGGCCCACCACCAGCCGGGTCCCCCCGCAGCCCTACGGGGGGAATGCTCTTTCTTTCCCAGGGGCCTGTGCCCACTGGTTGGCAAACCTTGTCTGTGCCCAACTCTGCCCAAGTAGCACAAGATGGGCTACAGGCGATGTCTTAGCTAATGGGCAGGGCCGTGTTAGGATAAAACAGATACAGGCTGGGGGACTGGATTCTGCTTGTGGCTGTAGTTTGCTACGAAGCCTGCTTTGCAGCGACCCTAAGAGGTGAGGAGATGGCTCTCTTCCCATTTTCCAGGGAGGAGACTCAAGGCCCAGACCAACTCAGGGGTGTCCCAGCAGGAAGGGATGGAGTCAGTCTCAACTCTCAGTAGCAGGCAGGGCTCACCGCCAGGCTGCAGGGAGCCCCACGGGACATACACCCCCCCCCACACACACACCCCGTGTCCCGAGCAGCCAGGGCAGAAGAGAAGGAACAAGTTCCCATCCAGGCCCCCAAGCTCCCATCTGGGCACCAAGCAGGTGCAGAGCGCACCCCAGGCTCTCAGAGGGCATTGGTCTTTCCCGGCTGGCCCTGTACGGTGGACG